GTGTACTTAAAATTTTTGGTTTTCGAAAAAAAAAAAGTTTTCTCGAACAAGCAATAACATCATGATTGTTCAGAGCAATTCTAGGGAATAACCAGTGCTTGATTTGTATAAGTGAATGTGTCACATTAGTATGTACATCACATTAAAACCGCTACCAACAACGGCATGCGCTCTAGAGAAAAAATATAAACACTCGTTAAACAATTGAAAAACATAATATTTTTTAATTTTCTTCTACGTTATATACTTTGTGATGTAATGTAACGTATACATTCCAATTAAATACAATAAAACATGCATGTGTCTTTTAATGTTTGACCGGAATACGCGTATCGTACAAAATACTTGTCTACGCAAGGGATAGTGTAAACCTTTTGGTAATTGAGTATCAATAAAAAAAAATTTATATTTTATCGAAGCATGTACACATATGAATAAATCAAAATCAACTACATAATTAAGTTTTATTGCATTTTGTACTATCAAATTATTTTTTTTCCTAAAAAATTGTTAAGTTTATCTGTAACATACAATCTGAGTACCGGGTACACAGGGACGAGGGTACAATTAGAAAATGTGATTATACAAATAAATATGAAACAACGCGATGGAAAAAGCAGGGGACACTACCTGTTGTTTAGTTACATTATTCTTTTCTTTTTTTCAAGCAAAAATTGTTATTTACATTTAAATCGACACTTTACTGAAATTAAACCCTGTTCATGTGATAGGTTTGTATACCCGTCGTCAATACCATACCTTTATTGTAAAAGTTGTTGTACGAAAATTGACAGATTTCTATAAAACATTTTTCGGCGGAAAACACGGGTGCTTCCGGCATAATCGTAAGGAAAACTAGTTTTGGGTTTGCGCTTTGCCGGAAACGATCGGCAGAACAGTCGTTCACGAGTTACAATCGGTTTCGTCTTACGACGCTGTTGTTCTTCAATTACTGCTGCGCTGCAACGCGTCTCTGCTACACTAATAATAATATATTTTAACGCGGTTTCGACCGGGCACGCGGCATGTGATCGTTTAAGCTCATTATTACCGTTTTCGGATCGGCGAAAGGGTGCGCAAGCGGGTACGTTAAAAATAGCTCGTGTAACCCGTAGTGACAAATAGACGTTCGCGCGTTTTCGTGCTACGACAAAGTCGTATTATTGTATTCGTGACCGACGCGGCCGGATGCGGCTTATCCGAGGATATCCTGCAACCGTATGCGATAACTTGTCACAGAGGAATATTTAATTTCTAACCCCAGAGACGTTCTACAAATATGGTTTACAAACAGCGATGTTCAATTAATCGAAAACAACCTAAACTAATACAACGATGGATCACGATTATATTTGATAAATCTAAAAAAAAATCCAAAAGCATATAATAATACAGCATGTATCCGACTTATGACTTATTATAGGACTTATGACCATCCGAAGATGATGTCAAATCGCTGCAACTATATGTCTAACTGCGAGCGACCATAGGATATAACATTATGTTTTAATTTTGGTGCTATGGTAGACACTACACGAGAGACATAATTATCGAGGTATCGAATGTAAACTGTTTTCATTAATTATAAAACTATGCGAGTGTGTTGTACATATACGTTGCGCACAAATTATAAAATAAGTAAAATTATTTAAATAAAAAAATCAGAGCATATTTAAGTTTCAAATCTATAACGATTACATACCGTACAAAATTTGATCAGCTGCAAATATTAAATAACTATTAAGTGTACTAATAAAAATAACCATACGTCCTATATTATAACGACATAAAACAGATATTATATTCGTATAGATGTTATGTTATATATCTATAAATTATTTAATTTTTTTATCATAGCTCCGTGTTTTCAACACAAAAAGGAACTGCGTAAAAAAAGTAATTTTAGGCTCGTATATATCATTGAATTTTATCGAAAACTGATTTACATAAAAAATTTCCGAATCAAATACTCCAGCTTAACTAGCCAAAATAGTGCTAGGAAAAAAAAATCGTGACTACAGCACACATAATCTCGTCGGGCTATGCATAATCTACAGTGCGATAATTGCAAATAAGTTATCCAAGAGTGTTGTACAGCCATAACGTATAGAACACGTCGTAGGTATTACTTTATAATAGATGGATGACTACGCGACTTCACCTGGTGCTATGCATGTACGAGTATAATATTACATAGTTATACTACGTTGAGTTACATAAGTTAAGCCTAAGCAATACACCCTGTACTATTAATTGCCTTCCCCCTTCCTCCAGCTCTCAAAGGAATGGATCAGTCGAATGCTCTTTTTATTTTTCCTGTATTATATTATTTATTTTTGTGTCTTATATGTTCGATGTTTATTTTCTTCCTATTATTATTAATATTTTTTTTTTACCCATAAGGTTGTCGACATCGTTAACTCCTCCCATACGCATTGTAATTACAAAACCCACGTGTGGGTTTAATGACAACCGAGCATTATAATATCGTTATCAGATCGCTGTCGTTCAACGTCCTAATGCCTCCGAGGAAGCAGCGAGCCTATATTAAGTGCACGAGCACGCGTGTATACGTGTGTAAATGTGTATGATAAAAACGGACCAAAAAAAAAAAAAATATTAAACGGCCATTTAATTACGAGTACAAGATTGTCTGGGAGCCAGCGTGTACGAGAAAACAGGGAGGATTTGTTGTCTTCATTTTCTTCTAAATGTAAAAATACTTAAGAACGTATATTATTATAAAACCGAGTTCGTTTAGTTCAAAAAGACAACAACAAACTAATCAGTCAATTGAAAATGTTTACATTTTTTTTTTTTTTCTAGCCCACTACGCTGTAATACGTACAAGTTGTAAGTTTTCGTACATGCTGTCTTTAATGAGTTTATTTTCATCTATTTGTACACAAGTGGCAATCGTCAACGTCACCCTTGCGCTCGAATAAACTATATTTTTCGTTTTTTACGTCGTCCCGATTTATTTTTTTAACTAATGATAACAGCTGAATCACATCAACCCTCGTACACGTCATACAAATACATATTTTTTGTCAAACTATAAATAAAAATTTGTTCACCCGTCCGAGTGTAGTGGGTAAGAAAAACCACGTGAACATATTGGCATTCATTTTATCTTTTTTCTAAGCACATAGTACAAAAGTCTAAAAAGTGACTTATGGGCCGTAAAAAATACCACACTAATTTCGTGTCTAATGATATGACCATTCGGGGGATAGGTGTCTCACGATTAGGTATAAATCAACGAGTGGTTTGGTCTTGAAAATGAATTTTTTAACAGTGTATAAATTACATTCACCTTCGTCACCTGGTGCATTCAGGTGGTTGGGTTGGGGTGCATTTTAGCACGGGTCGATGTGGAAGAAAAGAAAAAACTGGGGCTACGGGTAGTTAGAAATAATGAATACCACCCGTTCTATTGTTGCGTACGCTTCATGTACGAACCCTCCCTACTAAATACTGAACACATTGAATCTTCTGGTTGGTAACGGGCCGGCTCCTTTTTAAGTTCTACGGAGCACAAAAGTAACGATAATATATAGACGTCAAATTAGATAAAAGGACATTGGTCAAGGATATAGGGGAAGCCACTAGGGACAAGACGGCGAGTAAATATTTTTAAGAAAACGTTCGACAGGTGAAATTGATACTACGCCTTCGTAACAATGTTCGTAAATAAGGAAATATTAATGTACACGCGTCAAACGAAGCATATCAGACAAAGGTTTATTTCTGACAAAAACCGTAAAGGATCGTATTTCTAGTCAATGTTTTAAAATCGCAAGTCACGTTATATTAACGTATCTAACACAAGCACAATGTTTATCGATAAATGTATTCCGAAACGTGTGTTTAAACTACACATCCTAGTTCTAAATTATAATACAACGATTAAATTAGTTTTTTTCTTCTTAAATAAATGATTACTATAGTCTTTCCTAGCGTTATTTCTCCTGCAACGAAAATATTCCTTTCTATTGCATACACATCTCGATAAAATAGTATAATAATAATAATAATAATAATAATAATAATAATAATAATAATAATAATGAGATACTAAAAACATATTTCAAATTTTAATCGATTTTAACACACGCTGTGTTGTACCGGGCCGTAACAATATATTTTTTTATGGCACAGCTTCGCGTCGATCGTAGTGGAGGACGACGTGCTGCAGAGGAGAAAAAACGAAACAGAACAGGATTGAAAATCGAAGTCATCCGCCGGGTATTATATTGTAAACATGCACGGAGAGAAATAACTGAGTTATTATTGTGAGGTGGTTTACGCAGTCGGTTCGCTAATAATTCAATACGTCTCGTCAATAACGTGTTCAACTACTCGTCATGTTCATTACGTGTCGTCGTTGACGGAGAGCAAGAAAAAGAAAGAGAACGTTTATGAGATACAAAAAAAAAAAAAAACCATAACACAAGCGTCCAGTGACCGGACGGCGGCGTCGTTGTTACCACCGCCGCCTGAAATAATTTCGCGTCGTAAGTTTTCCAAGTGCAGAGAACACGAGCGACCAAAGCGAAACCGTATAGTAACTAATTTTTTATCGGCGATCCGTTTCGATTAGAGGTTTGTTTCTCTCCCCCGACACCGCACTATTACCAGACGAATTCTTAGCGCGCGCGTAAAATACACGACGTCGTTGTAATATAATAACAGGCCGCGTACACGTTATAGAACAGCGTACAGCGCCGCGACGACCGTCGGTTGAGGCAGGATGAGACGGCGGTCGAATAGGTGGACGGGTAGATGGAGGGCGGGTGGGGCGCCCTATGTTAAGTAGGTGTTAAAAGTGTACCGGGTGAATAGACGGACGGACGGACACGCGGCGACGGACTGGGAAACAAGACGACCCTGGCGGCGGCGGCACCGGTCGTGGCATCCGAAGCGAGCACGGAGCCGAGACGCGGCGCGTTGGAAGGGGAACGGGCGCGCGCGGCAACACGGCAACCAGTCCTCGCAGAGCCGCCCGCAGCGCGTTCAGTCTCCGAGTGCCTACCGTCCGAACTGGTGTGTACGCGCGCGCGCGCGTCTGTCGTTCTCGTCGTGCCCGTGTGTGTTCCGTGTGCGTTGTTCGTATTTCATGTATACAATTATATATGCGGTGTTCGTGCGTGCGGATTTTAGCGGTGCGCTCGCGAGTGCGCGTCACCATCACGGATAATAATCGTAGTAACAACGGTAGTACCGAATACCTGTACGGTTCGACTGCGTGTGTTTCTATCTCTGTTCTCCGGTCGTAACGTTCTCGACCATGCTCGTTCGTTGATGTCTCTGTTCCGCGCACGCTCACCACCACCCACCGCCGTCGGTTCGCGAATGGTGGCGGTACGGTGATAACACGACGGGGGTTGCTTTTCCCATTTTTTCTCCCGCTCTTTCCCCCTCTTTCTCTGTTCACACCGCCGCCCTAACCGTACCTAACCATGGCGCTCACGTTCGCCGCCGTTCTCATGAGTTCGGTGCTCCTGGTCATGTCCGCGTCGCTCAGCAAAACCCTCCGGCACAAGCCGCCCAACGAGTGCGAGTGGCTGGCCGTGACCACGTACGGTGATGAGACCATCGTGTCACAGACCGTGTCCGACGAACAAGAGGTGGCGCTGCACTGCCAGGTGCGCACGATGAACTCCGAGCTGGAGAAGACCAATTTCAGCATCATACAGCCGCAGTACACGGTCAAGCTGAAGATCGAGTGCAACAATCAGCTGTACCTGCTCAGTTCGCTGGGCACCGGCACGTTTCAGACGCTCATCGATCTCAAAGAGCTTACCATCGATTCGTGCAAGCTGAACACGCTGGCCCGCGAGTCGTTCCGCGGGCTCCGGCAGCTGCGCAACCTGACCGTGGTAACGCACAACAACGACTGGACGTCGGTCAACATGGAAGTGCAGTCGGACGCGTTCCTGGAGGAGCTCAACATGCTGGAACGGCTCGACCTGAGCTATAACAACATGGCCAAGCTACCGGAAGCCGTGTTCTGCTCGCTCCAGAACCTCGTCTACCTGAACCTGACGCGCAACCGGCTCCGGCACCTGGAACTGTTTCACTTCGGGTCGTCCGGGCAGCAGAAGTGCGGCGCTACCCTCCAAGTGCTCGACTTGTCCCACAACAACTTTGACTCGGTCAACTCCCAAGTGTTCTCGCACTTGTCCAACCTGCAGGAACTGTACCTGCAGGGCAACGTGTTGTCCGTGATCGGCGACCACGGTTTCGACGGTATGTCCGCGTTGTCCGTGCTCAACGTCGCCTCTAATCGGCTGGTCAACCTGGCACCCGAACTGTTCGCCGACACCCGTGAACTCCGCGAGATGTACTTGCAGAACAACACAATCAACGTTCTTGCACCCGGGCTGTTCAACGAGCTGTCCCGGCTACTGGTGCTCGATCTGTCCGAAAATCAGTTAACGGAAGAATGGGTGAATGCGGCAACGTTCACCGGTCTCGTGCGCCTGGTGCTGTTGAGCCTCTCCAACAACAACATAACTAAATTGGACGCGACGATATTCAGAGATTTATTCCGGCTACGGTCGTTACGGCTGGATAATAACGGTGTTCAACACTTGCCGGAAAACGTGTTTTCCACGCTGATAGACATGAGAACGTTGGTGCTGTCCAGCAACAAATTAACCAGAATCGATCAGTTCACGTTCGACGGTCTACCCTCGTTGAACCAACTGTCGTTGGACAACAATCAAATACAGTACATCGATCCCGAGGCGCTGAGGAACTCCACCGATCTGGAATATTTGCACCTAAACGGCAACAAACTGTACGATATACCGGCGGTCCTCAACAACGTTCCAAATCTTAAAACGTTAGACCTAGGCTACAATCAGATTACCGACATATTCAACACGTCGTTTCCGGCCATGAGCCAGTTAATCGGGCTGAAACTGTTGAAAAATCAAATATCAAACGTATCCAAAGGCGTTTTCGACCGATTACCGGAACTGCATCTAATCAACTTAGCCAACAACAAAATCCAAAAAATTGAACCCGGCACTTTTGACAATAACACAAGACTGGTAGCTGTCAGAGTGGACGGAAACTACTTACGCGACGTCGGCGGTCTGTTTTCCAAACTGTCGAACCTCGTATGGTTGAACATATCTGAAAACTTTTTGGAATGGTTCGATTACGCTTTGATACCGACGGGACTCCAGTGGTTAGACATACACGGCAATCAGATCACCGAACTGGGAAATCATTACGAATTGGAAACGCAACTAACTGGATTCGACGCCAGCAACAATAAACTGACCGAAGTCACCGGGAGTTCTATTCCGGACAAAGTGCAAAATCTCTATTTGTCCAACAATCAGATATCCAAAATTCAGTCGTACGCGTTTTTCAAGAAGCCAAATTTGACACAGGTCGATCTGACCGGAAACCGTCTGAGAACGCTCAACCCGCAATCGTTGAGGATATCCACCGTGCCAGGTGGTCGACCGATGCCGCAGTTCCTGGTCGGCAACAATCCGTTCGTATGCGACTGTTCAATGCAATGGCTGCAGGCGTACAGCGTGGAACCCGACAGGAACAAGCCGAAACTGGTCGACCTGGAGACAGCCACGTGCGAGGTGATATACAACCGCGGCGAGTCCCGGGTGCTACTAAAAGAGGCGTCCGAAGAACAGTTCCTGTGCCAGTACGACATGGAGTGCGCCAAGCGCAGCACTTGCGACTGTTGCGATTTCGACGCGTGCGACTGCAAAATGATTTGTCCAACGAACTGCACGTGTTTCCATAGCGTCAGCTCGACGTCCAACGTAGTCGACTGCTCGGGTGCGGGTTACGTGAACAGAGTGCCGGACAAGATACCGATGAACACTACGGTCCTGTACTTGGACGGCAACACCGTCAGGACGTTGAGCACGCACGCGTTTCTGGGCAGAAAGATACTGAAAGTGCTCTACTTGAACTCGTCGAATGTAGAACGCGTGCAAAACCGCACGTTCCTGGGGCTGAAAGAGCTGGAAGTGCTGCACCTCGACGACAACCGCGTGTCGACGCTGCACGGCGACGAGTTCTACGGGCTGGACAAACTCAAAGAGCTCTATCTGAACCACAACCGGATCACGTACGTCAACGGCACGACATTCCGGTTTTTGCAGCAGCTAACTGTGCTGCGGCTGGATCACAACCGGATCGTCCAGTTCCCGGTTTGGCGACTGTCACCCACGCTCACGCAGCTCACTGTGGCCGAGAACCACTGGAGCTGCGCGTGCGACTTCGTCCAGCAAATGAAAGAGTTCCTACAGTATGCCGCGGACGCGGTAACGGACGCCGACCAAGTCCGTTGTCTCGACCATTCCGGCGGGTTCAACATATTCAGCGACAACGGGACCGCGGTGTGCGGCACGACGGCCACGCCGCCGCAGCCCGATAAACCGTTTAATGGCTCGTCCAACATGATCGAGGGGGCCCTGAACAGCGGCGGAAACTTGACCACACCCATCAAGACCGTCGTCCAGAGGCCCGACATCCTGGACTACGTGCCCATCTTAATCGTCTCCTTCTCGGCCGTGTTCTTCATCGTGGTTACCGCCATGGTAGTGTACGTATTCCGGCACGAGATGAAGGTCTGGTGCCACTCGCGGTTCGGCGTGCGGATATTCTGCAAGAGCACCGAGTTCGAGATGGACGAGCGGGACAAACTGTTCGACGCATTCGTCAGCTACAGTTCCAAAGACGAGGCGTTCGTCGTCGAGGAACTGGCCCCGATACTAGAAAACGGTGATCCGTCGTACAAGCTGTGCCTGCACTATAGGGAATTCCCCGCTGGCGGCTACATATCCGATACGATCGTACAAGCGGTCGAATCGTCCAAACGCACGATAATGGTGCTGTCGGAGAACTTCATCAAGTCTGAGTGGTGCCGGTTCGAGTTCAAATCCGCGCACCATCAGGTACTCCGGGACAAGAGGAAGAGACTGATCGTTATACTGCTGGGAGAGGTGCCCAACAAGGACCTGGACCCGGACATTCGACTTTACCTCAAAACCAATTCGTACCTGCAATGGGGCGACAAGCATTTCTGGGAGAAATTAAAGTTCGCGCTCCCGGACGTTCCCAACAACCAGAGACCGAAGGCCATCAATCACAAACATCACCATCATCATCATCACCACCACAACAGAGGGGTGCACAACAACTATTCTAGACCGCTAGCCATACATATATAGTATACACGGTACGAAAACTTATCTTGCCTAATAATTAAATTTGTGATATTAGATAGTGACTATTTTGTATAAAAAAAAATGAAAAAATACATGTACAGTTTGTAAATATGGCTTAACGCCAACCATTCCTGCTTAATTATTGTACGTTTACGATAAAAGTTAAGATGATTCTTTTATAACCTTTTTTTAATATTTTCTTTATGTAAAAATAAAAATGTAAAGATCGTAAATAAAATTCTCTCTCAGTCATTACTATTAGGTTAAAACTATTATATATATATATTTTTTTCATGTATATCTTAAATTCCAACGTGTGTTAGCCCTTAAAAATGTATTAAATTATTATTTAACTCATTGACTGCAAATTTTTGTATATTTTTAATACGATATAATTATTATTTTTATTCTACTATTTTTTAAATTATATTAAATAAAAATACTATTTTTGATAAGAGAGTTGCCATCTATACAAACTATTTGCAGACAAAGATTTAAATGACGATTTTTGAAACAAATCGCGGGGTTAGTTACCTAGTCTAAGAAATATCTTGTTCTTTTGGTAGTCTTATGTTTAAAACTATTAACCCGATTTAATGTAAAATCTATGTTTCGTACGAAATGTTAGAACTAAAAACAATGCCATTTTTACTATTGTTTTTTTTATTATTATTATTTATTTTCTTGTAATGAAGACTACGCATTTCTAGGCACTAGAACATTGTTGTGATATATTTTTGTTAATTTGAATGGCTGGTGATCGAAAAAAAAATCGAAATCCCAGTGAATAATAAAAAAAAACCTAAAATTTAACTCTACTTTGTTTTCATTTGTATATCAATATTTCCTTGAAGAATTAACCGATTTTTCAAATTGATGGTTCTACTTCCAAAGATGCCATATGGGATCTGAAGTCGATATTATATGTAAATGTAACTAAAAAGATTAACTATGCGTAGTACAGCAGGTAATATACGTAGTAAAGATAAAAATATACGTGACAGTGGTTCACCGTTCGGTGTTTACCTTGGCCAAAGAGTTGGTTGCAGAAACGGGTGCTTCGTAGCGCACGCATAAAATATAATTGAAAACGGCTGCGACGTCGCAATACACGACCGTTCACAGGATTAACCGATTACGTCGAAATGTCATAGGTGACGAACTATTGATCATTGATGATCTGAACAACAGCGCGTCGACTATGCAAGGAGGGAGTTAACACGGATAATCCTAACGGCGTAATTGTTTGTTTTGGAAAACGATAAACGTATATTGTTATTAACGGTATAAACGATAAAAGTCAACAACTCGATTCTCCCACGACGCTTTTTTAGACGGTTTGAAACGGTATTAAAGTGCGAATTCTTAAAAAAAATATAAATTTTTTTCTCCCCGTAAATCAACGGTTCTTTACCCGTTCGCGGCGCATCGGCGCTTTCTCCGTTCGTCACCTGATGGATGATAACCCGACCAATAATTCACAATATTTCTATGCGCGCGTCCGTGGTGCTGCCCCTGACTACCACGGCGTTTTTGGCGCCTTAAAAGGCTATCGTCACGAGACACTTTCTTCACCGGAGGCGCAAAACGCGCTGCACTATATCATACACGCACTGTGTACCTTTGTTGTGATTTATTTCCAGGGCGTCGGCCGAAAAAAAAAAGTAAAAGAGGTACACAAACCCGAAGTGAGTATATATACATATATATTGTTTAATATCGGTTTTTTTTTTTTTTTTTACGATCCTTGTATTTTTTCCATCTCTCTGCCCTCTCCCTTTTCCTTTCTCCGTCTCACTACTCACTCTTTCTCTCTCTCCCCCCCCCCCCCCCCCCCCGCCCGATCGAGCTCCAGTCAGTATTATAACGACGTGGACGGATGATTGTTATGCTTGTATGATCAAACTGATTAGCGGAACAGTAATAACACGTTGGGCAACGATCCCCAGTGCTGTTTAGACCGGGCAATTTATTGCTCCGGAACACGCCGCCGTCCAGAGTATGATTAGTGGTCGGCGGCGCGGGGGCTTCATACACGTATATATATATTACACACGTATTCGTGTTGTTGTATACCTATGCGCATCTATTCCGCTTCTATCTGTCTCGCGCGTACACGCGTTCCGTCTTTGTCGTGCACGCGAGATGGCCCAGTTAAGCGAGTACGGTCGTTAACGTCCCGAGAGGGCAGCCCGGAATCACACCTGAAGAATGTACGCGCATATGTGGTTCCCAAAAAAAAAAAAATCACCAAAACGAGATACGCGTTTGCATATAAATATATTATACGTACAAAAAATATTTCTAAAGATATATTCGTCTTTCTTTTTTCGGGTTAATGATAATATTTCACGTACACGTGAAAATCACCGCGGCGAACCGTAGTCCCGAGATATTCTTAAGTGTGCCTCCTTACGATGAACGTTAAAAATCGTCGTCGGACGCATACGGTTTGTTTCGTCCATTGCGTTCATCGCTCCGTACGCACCTGAACTCGAGCGGTCTCATTACAGTTTTATTATTGTTTCGGTATTTCGTGTCGCGGCTCAACCCCGTCGTTCGGAAACCGTATACGAACCAAACATGTGTAAAACGAAATACAACTGAAAACGTCGCGAACCAATCGTTTCAATATTTAACGCTGCTATTGCTTATCATTTTTCGGCGAATCATTTTACACTTGAGACGAAAACATTTTATTTAAAAATCACGAATGTCCGTGTTTTTGGAAATCGATAATCTTTTCAGTACACAGCGAAATAATTGTTTTCCGCTTAAAGAATTAATGACTATCGTTTTCGATTATTTCTATGACGTTTGATTACGTTTAATAGCCGCTATGATAAGTTTTGTATTTAATTTATCATGTATTTTTTATTATGCTTTCGAACATCATCATTCATGAATCCATCATAATGCAGTCAGAACAATTGAAACGTTATAATAATTGAACCTGGTGTAACCCAAACATCAAACATAACCAAAAATTACCCATATTGGAAATTTATAGTTTTTATTTTTTTACTGTTCGTTTATAAACGATAGAAATTCCGGTGTTATAATAATAATAACTATACCCGTTAATATTTAGGTAAGAACGGGGTAAAAACGTCTTCAATATCAGGTAAGACTTGAGTTAATGTCCAAAGAAATCGGGTTAAACGGGTCGGGGTCGAGGATAAAGAGCATGACGCACGCGCACACACATACATACAAGCATATATACGATATATTTTTAAAAACGAATTACTGCCGAACAAAAAACCATTGAAAAGCCACCACCGCTGCCGGTGTGTGGAAATTTGTGTCCGCCATTTCCGACAAGGACCCCCAACGATCGACGATCGCTAAGGGGTAGCACCCTTTTTTTGATTCGCCATTTCTTCCCCTCAGGCTCGTAATGTCTTCAATTAGTTTTATTACTACACGCGCGCTGCTCTACGGCACATAAATCAGTTTTTTCTTCTTCTCTTTTCGCTCTTTATTCTCAATAATCCACGCTTAGCCTTTATTATTGTTTACGGTAAAGAAGGAACCACGTGGAGGGGGAATGCCTGTGCACTGTAACCGCGAGCCTGCAGTCGATCTGGTAGAAAACGGATGATTCACGTCCATCATCAAACCGGTCCTGCCGGTGTTTCGTTTTCGTGCCTACCCGGATTCACAGTGGGTCCCAAAAAAAAAAAAAAAAAAACCACCTATAAGAAATCGCGCACGGACGGCGAATAACATACATAAATAACCATTGTGTTCTGCGGCTATCGGCCGAGAAAAGCGAACTCAGGAAGATCAATTAAAAAGAGTGCAACGCACGTTTTATTACGCCGGTCCAGTCTAATTATACACGAGCCTCGATGAACACAATGGGAATACGCATATACCTACATCGTTTCACAATAAGTAACAGTCCCGCGCATATTGTTCGTTTTCCATCAGTTTGGTCGTGTACCGATCCGCGCGCTGCCAAATTTGGGGTTATTTGGATCTATACGTATATACGTAAAATCCTGAAGACGTGTCTTCCGCAATTACTGTGTTCGATGTTGAAAACGTTTTTCATAATCAAATAGAAATCACGTCCGTTTTTGTATCGTGATAATGTTTTGAGATCCATGCATGTCCTTAGATACTCTTTAAAATAATGTAAAACGAAATTGTTGCTAAATTATATCCACGTTTCACAAACCCGGCTTCTATTTTACTACCGTTATCGAAAACATAAATAAAAATCTTTTTTTTTTCTTTCCAAAATACCTAGTTAATAAAACGACACACGTTTTGTTATAATATACCTACAGTCTCACGAAGTGTCCGATTTCAATTTCATTAGGAATAAAACGAGACACGCGACGCCAATGCAAACGAAAACTAATGGAATTTTCGAATCTACATGCACAACAGTAAAAGATCCTACCAGTAAAACGATATCCTTAACATGTAATCCATATGACCCGCTGTGATCATCTTCTATCCTCCTACTGTAATATATCAAAATATTTAGCGGTTTAATATATTATTTTCCTACATTTTACAAACGCGAGTTATTAATCAATTCCCGAAAAACGTGTGCAGATGTTGATTTTATATTATATTATTTTAATTTCTCCATTGCCAAAAAGATAGCTATTACGTGAAGTCATGGGACGATGAGCATGCACGATCACCGTAGGAAATAAATCCTCGAACGTTATTTTAAGGACTCGTAAACCACTTTTCGAAACGAGGTTTTATTACACACAATATAACAATAATTTAAGACCGTAAGGAACACAACGATTACATTGATATTTTCATGTTTCTTTTAAATGCAAACGTAGTTTTTATGGCATTTCCCAAGTAAACCGACTGTAATTGCACAAAAAGTAATTAACCAATACATCATTCCGAATCCCATAGCACACAGTTCTATACATTTATTTTTTCCAAAATAAATTCAAATTGGGAAAACGCGACAAGAGAAAAATTATCAGCCCAACAGTCAAAACATCGCACTATCCATGTGAAGTGGTAGCCGAAGGCGTTGGTGGCGGCGGCTGCGGCGACGACTCGCGAGTTCCGCCGTTTAATGAATGAGCAAATAAATCATCGTTAATTATACGGAATGAGTTGTACGGTATATTATATGTATTCATATTTATTTATTATCATACACCGGAGTGTATACCAAACGCGATTTACGGCGGATGTACTAATACGGTACACGTACCACGATTTGTACCAGAACTTTTCAGATTTATTGCCTAAACTTGACGTGTAAATAAAACATTAAAATAATAGTAATAATAGTAATAATATACCGACGCGAGTGCGTTTCGAGAGACTTCAACGCGCACAGATCAAGCCGCGAGAATTCACAGGAACGACTTCTAATTACAACCTGGCGTTCGTAAGAGAGACCGCGCGCGTATACATATTATACTCGTATATAACGTGCATCTGGCGCGTGCATTTTTCTATACAAATGTACCGTTTCCTTGACGTTAGTTTATATGAAATAATAAAAGAAAAAAAAACACAGTAAACACATTTAAACGAGTAGGCGGATATCGAAAACCGCAATTACGTTCGAGGCTGTACGTGTGCGTGCGTTTTCATCCCCGTCGTATAGTATTTGAAACAGTTTTTCTATTCCGAAGACTTTTGTGTACCCAGTATTTTTACCAGCGGCAATACGTCATGTGGCCAATCAAGTCTGGATAAAACGCTTTTCGACTAGTGGTTGCTATTATACTCCCGTAATTTACAGTAGTAAAAATAATAACACTCAAGGAGCCGCATGCCGG